TACTTAGGTTTAAGTCGTGGAAAAGATGATTCGTTTCGTCATAAGTACGTTTCAAATCCCCATTTAAACTAATAATACGACTTGAAATAAACCTTTCTGTGATACAGTACGTTACAGTACGATCCTACGTTTGGATTAGATATTGCAAACTACCTACAGCGCTAAAATCGGCAACATTGCCTCGTACTAGGTAATTGTAACATATGCTGCGCCTTAGACTCCTAGACACAAAACGAGAAAACCATTTAGTAACACGTAAAAAGATAAGGAATATGCATCTCCATCCATCGATTTTTGTTTTGCTTACCTATACCCTGTTCATTTCTTATAATATAAACTCGATAAAAATATACTAACCATTATAAAGCGGTGCATTTGTATCGGTTTTTAATATTGTGAACAATTTTTTGTGGTTCCATTAAAAATAAAAGCTCATTTCTTTAAAAAGATAAAGCAAAAAATGTACTTTTATTGAAAATAAAAAATAATTCATAATAAAATAAGAAATAATTCTTTATACCCTACAGAAATGATTCAAATATTTGACCTTCTACATAATTGGAGACTTCTCTTATTCGGTTTCTTAATTCATCCAAATTTTGGGCTCTAGCATTAGGATGATCGTAGATAATGCTTTTTAAATCTACCCAAAAAAAGAAGTTCATGGATGTAAGATCTGGAGATCACGCAGGCCACTTAATATCATCTGTTCCACTGATAACTTCATTCGGGATAGTATTGTTTAAGTATTCCCTAATTATTCGAGCGTTGTGAACTGAACGGCCATCTTAATGAAAAAAAATATTCTCTAGATTTACATCAGGAAGATTGAGAACAGCGGGTAGAACATGATTCTGTAACAAATCGAGGTATACTCTGCTATTCAAGTTGCCCTCAAAAAAAATGGACCTATTATGTGGTCTCCTAAAATTCCAGTGCAGACGTTGACTTTTTGACGACGCTGAGTTTGGTAAACAACACATCTGTTCTGGTTTTCCTGCGCAGAATACCTCGTAATGGAAGGATTGTGTCTCCCTACTAACGAAACAGAAGAGTTATTAGCAAATAAAATGTTTTTAATAATCGTGAGTTCATTATTAGCCTTCGTTATTAGAGTTTCACAAAGCTCCATTCTTCAAAAGTAGTAGTCTGTATAAAGCTGCTGCCTTTTTGAATATTTAAAGCTCTTGTAACCGTGTTTTATCCATACTTTCGTTACAGTAGCATTGCTAACATCTAACTCTCTAGCAACACGTCTACTTGAACATATTGAATCTACCTCGATTGTTGCACAAACTTGTGTATCCAAGTATTCTCTTTCTCTCAACTTTTTCTGGTGACACTTCTTGAGCGTGACATTTTCTGCAATTTTTTACTCAATAACAACTATCAAAATGTTTAACAATATTATGAACAGACTGTACGCAAGGAATTGGTCTTCCTTTAAAAAAAAACAGATAATAAATCTTGACAATGTTGTCCAGAATTACCACTATAAAACCATTTTATTATTTGAGCCTTTTCTGCGGGCTTATAAACGGACATGTTATTTACAAAAATAAATTAGAAGTCCACGCTCTTAATGCTTTAAAATAACCACTGTATAATGACAAATTATTTGAGACTGGGGCAACGGAGGTTCGAGGAAAGTCGACAGCGCGCAGTGTTGCCATTTATAGTATGTATATCTAATTTAAAACGTAAGGTATAGTCGGCACGTAATTTCGTGAGAAAATTTACAGAGACCAAAGCAAGCAAAATACTAGTAAAATGGCAACGCTGTTAGAGTTACCACTACTTCATTGTAGTACATAGTAGTAGAACAGTAGCGTAGATATCTAATTTTAAATTAAATAAAAGTTTTTACTTTTATTTAATTTTATTTACCAAAAAGTTTCATTTTCTATAAAGTTTAAATAAAAAATATCGGGATTTTTAACTTCTGTGATATATCTTGGGAGTGATAACACTAATCGACTCGACTGAACAGAACTTATTGTAAAATAATAATATCTACTTATATAAAACATTGATAATAATAGTAGTTATTTAGCGAGAATGACAATGACAGTTTCAGTTGACATACTCCCCTAAAACATTAATAATTTTTGTCCTATCAAGAAGTGTATGTATACCCTGTTTTCACATATATATAAGCAAAATGAGAATATCTACAATTAAAATAGAAATAAAGGTTTCAACTAACACCTAATAAGTACTTACTATCTATTCAGAATCACTGTTATCACTAGTATCACTCGTATCATCTAAATTTATAGGTAATTTGGTTAATGCTGGTAAATATTTAACATAGTCATTTTCCACTCCGATCACATGTTTTATTTTTATTACATTTTTCCAGTTGGTTGCTGTAATTTTTGTGATTTCTCTTCTAATTAACTGGAGAACAGTAGACAAAAAATTTTGGAGCAACGTTTCTTCTCATTATATTTCCTTTAAGTTGAGCCCATATTAACTCTATTGGGTTCAATGTACAATAATAAGCACAATAATAATAACAATTGCTTTTTAATATAAGATGTCTCAAAATACAAATCTTCCGTGAATAAAAATTCCTGAATTTTTAATTTATTCCAACTATTATTTGAAGTTTTTTTCATTAATCTTGAATGATATGATGCGTTGTCCATGATAATCACACCATGATTCAAAAATTGAACTTTCCATATCGTCATGATAATCCAGAGACGCGTTTTTAATTTGTTTTGCAGATATTAATAACGCATCGTCGACCCATCCATTTTCTCCACCGCAGGGTAAAATTATAGTCCTCTTTCTTTTATTGGGCGGTACTGAGTTGAAACACTTTTTGTTATTATTTGTCCAACTTCTTTTTCACGGTGTCATGAGTATCATACCAGGTCTCATCTAAAAAAACAATATTTCGTTTCATTTTTTGATACTCAGTTATCTGTCTGATATAATTGTTTCTTAAAGAAATTATTCTAGTACTTTCCATTAGTGTCTGTCTCTTGTCTAGAGTTTTGTACTTAAAATTATTGGCTTTAAGAAATAATCGAAGTGTTGTTGCTGAACACGAGAGAATGCACTTTCGAACTAATTCACTTCGAAGGCTTTCAATAGTTGGAAAAATATTAGCCGCATACATTTGGTATATTGTTCTAGTTATAGATTTAATTAAGTGCGGTTATATTTTTCTTAATTTGTCACAATCCTTTCTCTTCTGTCTAGAAGAAGATGTTTCTCCTATAATTTTGTAGCAGGTTGCTTTGGGCACTCTGGTTAAAAAACATGTTTCTGCAATTGCCTCTGATTTAGACAATTCAGCACACAGTCCTTCATAAACATTTTTTAGCATACGTTTGGCATCATCAGAAAGGTATTGAAACTGTCGCTTACGTTTTACTACACGCCTTTGTAAATCTTCCAATCGATTAGAGGGTTCCATTGTCTCTTCAGCTACATAATTATTAGGGAGTTTTTGTAACTACCTAACGTAACGTATCTCCCTATACGTAAAGAACTAACGTATCGAAGAAGATGAACGTTAAATTGAGAGTTTTTGTTCTGCACGTAACGTAACGATTGTGTTGCCCTCATCGAAATAGTGACAAACTAATAAGTTGTCAGTGTTAGTGTTGTCCTTGTCACTTAACCCTATTTTTGATATTCAAAATAAATAATAAATATTTTTTCAACAATTTTTAATTTTGGTGATGGATGCAATAATAAACTTAGGTGCCTTTATTGATGATGAAGAAAACAAGGACATAGAAAATGCGCTTCTTCTCCACATCTTGCACGTCTATACGGCCACTTTAATTTATACCATGTCTGATATATAATGTAAAAATATTTTTCGCTTTTAGATTAAATTCCACCTTTCTGGATAATCGTAAGGGTTCTGGCCTACGACTTCCTTCAACAAAAACAAATCATTTTCATTGCTGAAGTGAAATCGTTTTCTACTGCTTTCCATTATTTATAAAAATCAAAACAAATATACTTAACCACAATTGGGATGAAATGTTAATATTTTGGTAATCGGGTAAGATCCCCTTGAGCATTCGGTTACTTTCGGCTCGATAGGGATGCGTATGAACGTAACGTATCAGCCCGTTACGTTAGGTAAGACGTATCTAGATACGTTAGTTTAACCATTATTGTGCATGCTTATATGTCAAAAAGATACGTTACGTATACGTATTTGCTTGCACAAAAACTCCCTATTAACGCACCACGGACGCAATATTTTAAAATTATCAAACGTATAAAAACATAATCACGTAAAAACGTATCAAAAAAAGTAAAAAACGTAAAATATAAAATGTTTTCCGTATAAAGAACACTGAAAAAAGAAAAAAGAAAAAAAAAAGAAATTTGAATTTAACTGAACGCTGTAGCAGATATGATTTTACTAAAAATATTCTTGTCTCCCAAAAATCTGTTGGTCATATCCGCAATTTAAAAATAAAATATTATAAAAACTTGCCTACCCAAGTTTTTCCCGTCCAGTGCCGAAGGCTGATCCCTTATTTTATGACTCCGTAAGCTCAGTCTACCGACAAAAGATAATGCATTATGATTTGTCATAACAGCGATATCCGATGTTTTCATTGGCCGTTAGTCCACGCGGACTTATCATAAGTTCGATGAAAACTTAATTGGTTGATTTTTCATATCTGGTTCATATTTTAAAAGATTATACCAGGCACGTCTGAATGTTAATATCGAGTGGAATCTGGAAACTTTGTATTATTACACGTCTGAGTCATTGATACTTTTACAGACTCCTGGTAGAGTACCTTTTTGTTGAATGATTTTATTACAGATACATATATTTTTGCACAGTCTCACGGAAATACGAGGCTACTATACTGTATCATCAATCTACATCGCTATTAAAAAAATAAATATTACGGCAATACAGGAAAGATTTATATTATCTTCAAAAGTTTTTTTCTGATTCTTAATATTGTTTATTAATTGTATAATTTGAATTTTATACATATTTTTAGAATATCTTGTTTCTGTCGAAGTGAAGTCCAACACAGATGTTGAAAAACATACAATCTTTGAACTCAACAAACTATTAACATCTAGCAAAGAAGTTTTTGCGGAAAGCAAAAGTACTAAGGCAGTTGTTGACCATATGAAGTTTATAGTGGAATCTGACTCACAGCTAAATTTAGAGCAATGTGATAACATTAACAACTGTTTGTTACTTCTACGAAATATCCTTCATATTCCTGAAAATCGAGAACCATCTTCTAATGGATTTAACCACACCAGCATGCAAAATCAAATTATGTGGAATTTGTTTACTCAAAGTATTGACAAAATTATCATTTACCTCATGTCCTGTCCTCAAAGGGTAAGAATTCTTATTAATATTATTTTTTAGTTTCCAAAGCTATTATATTTTATATTTTCACAAAATTTCTCAATCATTCACTATTTCAATTTTAAAACACTTGTCTTAAATATTTCTCAAATTTAGAAAATAAATTTTAATTATTTAAAAAAAAATCTTAATCACGATTTCTAAAAAAATTAAGTCAAAATCAAACGTTGAAACGTTGTTTACAGGAATTCATTTTGGTAAAAAAAATAAACAAAAATGGATAAAGCCAGTTTTGATCCGTCAATTTGGATTTGGCAAGTTATTCTACAAAAAAAAAAAATAAGAATTCCACTGGGTTTATGGAGAAAGTTTTTTTATTGTTGTTTAAAGACATTATTTCAAGCAAAATATAATATATTGTAAATTAAATTCTTAAGTCTTTATCGTCTTCTGTTCTCACTGGCTCAAAAAATGGTCTTCGACGAGAACTTCTTCAGAATTTGGTTCTATCAATGGTTGCGATATTCCCTCTAAAACATCTTTAAAGAACTTTAAATTCCCCTTTGTTTTCCATTCCCTTCCAAAATGCTTCTCCAATAAATTGTTTACATCCGTTAACTTGGCAGGTTTTACTGGTACATCCATTGGAATAACTTCTGGAGAAAGATGCTCCAACTTTTTGCCTTTTTTTAAATTGACTTGGGTATTCCAGTGTCCGAGCAATAGAAAGGTTCTCCACGAACCAAAACATTTCCACTACGATTTTTTGTTAGTGTAAATCTCTTGGCATCGAAAAACTTAAAATGCCAGGAGCGCACGGGTTTTAGAAAATCACCAACAGTAGATTTGCAGTCCATAACGAGAGAATATTGCCCTAATTTCTTACAGTGCCGTGTTCCTTAAATAGGTCCAAATATATTTTAGGATCGATGATGGTTAAAATTTATTTTAATTCTTTTCAATTCTCCCGAACAGGGCGGTAATATCAGGTGGTAAATATGAATGTCCAGGAACAGGAAAAATTATTTCTATAGTTTTAATGTTAGATGGTGCAACCTTAGAAAAAAAAGTAGGACAACATACCTATCATTATTGAATTGTGATTTTGTCCACCTCATCCGTCAGCACACAGTCGTATGTCCGAATAAGCCGACAAATCAGCTTGTGATAGTGCATGATAAATTGCTGAAGAGATTTCATTCGAACTTTTCTCCGAAAAATTACAATAAGTAGTCAAAATGTTCACCGTTATATAAACTACATAATCTAAATCGTTTGTGTAAGTTTTGTCTTATTTTAAATAATGAGTTTCTTTGAACCCTAATTACGTTAACTTCCTCTACAATATTTGGCCATAACTCTTGATGGTTATTTATTTTTTTTATAAACAACTGACTCTAGGTAGCTCCACAAGTGAAAGTCTAGGTCTAGAGGATTTAATTCGGGACTGCGTGCTGGCCATGGGTATATACTACCTGTACCAATCCACATTTGAGGATAAATTTCATCTAGATAATTTCTAACTTCTACGCTATAATGTGGTGGTGCACCATCATGCATGTACCAAGAGTTACGTCTCAAATTTAGAGGTATGTCTTCTAAAAGAGTTGGTAAATCTTCTTTAAAAAAAATTAGATACGTTAGATTCGAATGGTCCTACAATACAATCCCCAAATATACCACACCAGATATTTATGGAAAATTCATGTTGAAAAGGATGTACTTGAAATGCATGAGGATTTTTTGTAGCATAGGTATTGCCATTGCGCCAGTTAAACACACCTCTTTTAGTAAGTGTGGCTTTATCGGTAAATAAAATTTTATTATAAAACATTGGATCGTCTTAATGTCGCCCTATCATAAACTAACTAAATCGGAGCATTGCACAACAATTTCATCCTCCATATCCGCATCAATTACTCTCGGTCTTCCAGCATTCCTGTTTTTAGGATGAAATGACCCCGTTTCGCCTAATCTGTCGAACAATGATCTAATATTTTTATGGTTTGGTTGCCTTCTATTGGGATAAACTTCAAAATAGCGTTGATCTGCTTTACGAGGACAAAAATTTTCCTGAGCACACAAACAGATCATATCGCGCATTTCTACATTAGAAAATTCACTATGACGTGGCATTTTACCTTTATCTTAAGTGGTTATAAAAAACTTAATAGCACTTTGAAAAATAATGACTCGCACTGCACTTTGACAACTAATAATAAATAAATTCGTACAAGAATTTACTCGTACTCGTAGTTACGCCAAGACGTTGCCATTAAGTTCAAAGCATACTTAACAAAATACGTTTATTTCGAAAACGGTGTACTTTTCTGATTTTAAACAAAAATACCTTTTTTGTGTAAAATTGGATGTTATTTCATGTTTTTTTCCTAGAATGTTTATACAGGGCGGACAAAAAAATTATGGTCACAATAATGAACCAATGTTATAGTAGGTGAGCCAGCTAATGTTGATGGTAAAACTAATATCATTATCATCATCAAACGCTTTATTTTGATGTCAGCCATCACCCATTAGCTAATGTCCAATTAATTATGTAACACCTTGTATACGGGGAACTATACTCTCAATTTTTGAGCTATAAATGAATCGGCTGAACGTTGACCTGCTGTGCAACCAATTGTTGGACACATGTGTGGCTCTATATTTAGCTGAAAGGAAACTGGATTGCCAATCATGGCAAAACATGAGATAGACTGGGACTACATGGATTTACTTAGACCAATATTGGATTAGACTCGACTTCAAACACAATACATTGAAATAAAAATAGAATCCACTTTGGAGTAAACCGAACACCGGCTTTGGAACTACATCGAACTACAACAAGGGCCTCAATATTACAACACGAACTTCAATCACATAGTCCTGTTCATTGTGAAATGAAATCAGATTAAACAATATTCCTTTTTATGGAAATAAATACTCAAAAAGGGGGTTCAGTTATTTTAATTTGGTTGATGTCTAAGTAGTACAGAAATTCACTTAACTAACGATTGTTTCATCCGGACCTTTTAATTGACAATAAAAGGTTCAACAGAGCAACGTCACTATATTTGCAAACAAACTACCGACAAACTAAACATTACTTATAGGTTATTACTTATACAAGGTTATCATAATCTTACCGCTATTTTAAACAGAGGATTTATAAAACAATTATAAAACAGAATATTATAAGTAAAGTTTGTTTAACAGTAAATGGTTGACTTCAATTAGTATCGACTATAAACATCCTGGGTTAACCGATAATAGTATAAAAGGCCTAGTTTCAGATAAAAATGGTCTTAACAAAAATCCTAACAATGCCAAATTGAAGCCAACAAAATAGATGCATTTTGATGAAATTCGGAATTAAAAACGTTGGTTCATTGCACTAAATAAACTTTCATCCAAATAATGCGCTTAAAGGCTTTTCCCTTTATATAAAAAAAAATTAAAAATACTAATTTGAACAAGTAATTACACAACCTTACCAAAAATTTTATTAAAATCTTGTCTTAGGTTTATTGGAGCGTAACATTAGTACAATTAATCGCTCTGATGTACAAAGACCAGCATGTGGGAACACTGCAGAAGCTTCTTAATCTTTGGTTGGAGGCTTGTTACAGTGACAGTTCTGAGGATAATGAAAGTAATACTTCGCCACCTGATCAAGGTAGCGATGATTCATCTCCAGTTATAACATCAGATCCTACCTCTGATTCCAGTGATACTGGAAGTAATGGTCGAAATAAATCAAACAATAACAATGCCAATAACAGGGTAAGTATTTAATATTAATTTTAAATACTTTAGTATACATAATTTATTAATATTAATATATATTTTTGTAGTTTACATTTTGTATTGTCCCCATATCATAAATAATTGTTTAATTAATTTTTAATTCATTATTATTTTCTTTTCAATTATTTTATATTTAGATAATAAGAAAGTTGTTCCTATAAACATAATATTTATATAGATAAACGGCATTTTTTCCTAAGAATTCCCTTTATCTGTCTACTAGAGATCAGTAAGAGACTTTCGCAGACATTTCGCAGATTCTAAAAAGTTATCTGGAGATCTATCTTAAAAGAGATCTAAAATAGGTCCAGTTAAGTTACATTACGCCATAGATACTGTGTAGAGATTTTTTCTCACTTTATAAAAAAATTACAGTCAGCATAAAAAGCATAGCAAAGCATAAAGCATAGCATTTTAAGCTTTAATTAAATATATTCAAGCACAATGTATTAGATTTGTAATAAGAGTACCATAAGTTTTTTACAGTAATTTAGATTTTACAAATTTATTATTTATTCAGATGCATCCCTCCCAGGAATCAGAATGCAAGAACTACAAGAATGTTGTGTGCATCTATTTTTCTTGGCAGGACAATATGAGCACTTTATTTTGTTCTTTGAAGTTGTCGGTAGTGAAACTGGATTGATCCTGATCTGTACAATATCCCGAATTGTTTGCTTTAGGCTAATGGAAAAAGTCAATTGAAGACCGTTTTTCTAAATGTGGTTTTATCAACTGTTTTGCTAAGTTTGAAATAAAAGTTCTTCTTTCTAATAAGTATTACTCCTATAAATTATTTGGCCATTTACTCTATCTATATTGAGAAGAGTACAAAATAAAGTAAATGATTATCTGTTACTAATTCTGGTTACGTTGTACAGTACTAATAAATAATGAGTGCAGTAACAACGGCACTACTAAGAATATTTAAATAATTGTAATAATAAAAAATTAAATTGAGAGTAGGAGCCTCTCAATACTTTGCGTAAGACAGACTGGGCGGGGGATGTTCTCAACCCTGACACGGCGCGTCCCAATGGCTGATAGGGAATGTTCCTGCAGATATGCAGGGCAGGTACGAATAAGGCTTAGCCAAATAAGTACCTGCGGATCCACTGAGGGCATGGCATTAGGCAGCAGTGATGCCATTACTGAATCAAGGCTGTTAGAACGACACCCACAGGCGGCAATCCCATAATGATTTAACTGGCTGTGATACTGCGGTGCAGAAAGCAATGGGAAACTACTGCACTAAATCTCCCAAGAAAAGCTTCCATGACAAATACAAATCATACTACGGCCCCGAGTCTCCGGCGTCCCGGACAGGGACAGGGGTGCTAAGAATCTCCGGAGGGAAAAATAAAAATAAAAATAGATCATTAATAAAACATATTGCTACGTGGAATGTTAAAACTTTATATCAATCACTAAAGCTAAAAAATGTACAACTCGAAATGAAACGTCTGGGCCTGCAAGTCCTTGGAATTAGCGAAGCTAGATGGACCGGAACGGGAACTGTAAAAAGTGGAGGTTATATTACTTATTACTCCGGAAAAACGGATGATATTCATGAAAATGGTGTTGCTATAATTCTTAAGGAACGATTTGAAAACCTGGTTGACAAATTTGTTCCTCTTTCAGAGCGAATAATGACGATAACTATTAAAAGTAATATTAATATAAACTAATACAAGTATACGCTCCTACAAGTTACAGTACAGACAACGAAATTAATAAATTTTACCATGTATTAAAGCAAGCACTAAATAACACAAAAAACACGAAATTTGTGTAATAATGGGAGACTTCAACGCTAAAGTAGGAGAAGACATAACTCCCGGAATTACTGGAGGATTCGGTCTTGGGGAAAGAAACGAAAGAGGTAATAGATTGGTGGAGTTCTGCCAAGAGGAAAACTTTGTTATTACCAACACATGTTTTAAACAACCAAAAAGACGTCTCTATACATGGATATCACCGAGAGATGGCCATGGTAGTGTAATGCGTAACCAAATAGACTATATCATGATTAGCAATAGATTTCGAAACTCATGTAAATGTACTAAGACATATCCAAGTGCCGACGCAGCCATCAATCACAATTTACTGGCATCTAGAATCAACCTAAAATTAAAGACAATCAAAAAGCCTTCCATTACAAAGAAATACGACAGACAAAAACTAAAAGAAGAAGAATTTAAACATCACTTTGAACAGACAATGAACGAAAAAATTCGAGACAACATCACACAAGTATACAATGTACCAACAGAAAGATGGGATAAATTAAAAAATGGTATCATCGATACAGCAACGCAAAGTGGAACTGTCACCCATTATAAAAAGCAAGCGTGGATGAAAGATGAAATAATCGAAATGATGGACGAACAGCTTAAAAATAGAAATAACTCAGAGTATAAACGAAAGCATAATCTGATTCGAAGAAAAATCAGGGAAGCCAAAGAGTTATGGATCCGAGCAAAATGTGAGGAACTAGAAGAATTGCAACGAAAACATGACGAATTTAACACACATAAGAAAATAAAAGAAGTTACAGTACACAAAAGAAATACACCCATAACATTAACGAATAATGAAGGTCATGCACTCTCCCTAGAAGACGAAGTAATGGAGGAATGGGAAAACTACATTAAAGCATTATTTAAGGATGATCGAGGATCACTACCTAACTTAAGTGCAAATACAGGACCATCAATCTTAAAAGCTGAGGTGGAAAAAGCCATACACCAAGCCAAAAACAACAAAGCCAGTGGACCAGATCAAATATACAGCGAATGGCTAAAATTACTCTCAAATGACAATATAAAAGAACTCACTGTACTTTTCAATCAAATATATGATACCAGTGAAATTCCATCGGACTGGTTAAAATCGATCTTTATTTCTCTACCTAAGAAACCAATCGTTAAGAAATGTAGCGATTGTAGACTCATTAGTTTAATGAGCCATGCCGTTAAAATCTTCTTCTCTTCTTTATGTGCCGTCTTCTACCGAAGGTTGGCGACCATCATACGATAGGTTTCTCTGTTTGTGCCGCATGAATTTTGTTCGCAGCTTCTGGTATTTGAAACCATTCTCTCAAGTTACCAGCCGTTAAAATACTGTTGCATATTCTTCTAAACCGAATTAACAAGTGCGAAGAAATAATTAGTCAAGAGCAGTTCGGGTTCCGGAGAGGCCTTGGAACTAGAGAAGCACTATTTTCTATGCAAACACTCCTTTAACGATGTTGGGAGGTAAGAAAACCCGTATATATGTGCTTAATTGATTTTGAAAAGGCATTTGATCGCGTTCAGCATACCAGACTATTACCGCCTTGCAGAGCATCCAACTAGATGAGAAAGACATCAAACTTATTGCCAAACTTTACTGGAACAAAACAGCCATTATTAATACCAACAACAGAGAATCAAAGCCAATCAGTATTGAACGAGGCGTAAGGCGTAAGACAAGGCTGTATACTATCTCCCACCCTCTTTAACGTGTATTCTGAGAATCTATTTAGGGAAGCTTTAAAAGATCAAAAAGGAATTATCATAGGAGGAGAAATAATTAACGATATACCGTACGCCGACGATACTGTGATTCTAGCTGAAAACATCGACGATCTGCAGAAGCTAATCAATAGAGTTGACATGGAACGCACAAATTGGGGCTTGTCGATAAATATCGATAAAACTAAATACATGGTGACCAGTAAAGTGGATATCGGCGCAACCCAACTGATATTAAACCAACAACCGCTGCAGAGAGTTCAGAGATTCAAATACCTTTGATGTTGGATTACCTAAAATCTAGATCCTTCCTTCGAAATTCGATGTAGAATTGAACAGGCAAGAAATTCATTTAAAAAATTCAAGCCTCTATTATCCAATAACTCATTAAATTTGGAAATCCGTGAAAAGTTTACAAGATGTTACGTGTGGTCTGTACTTTTGTATGGTTGTGAAACTTGGACTTTAAACGCCGATATCATGAATAAAATCGAGGCGTTTGAGATGTGGTTGTATCGAAGGATACTAAAAATTCCATGGACTAGCAAAACCAGAAACGAAGAAGTTCTTCGAAGAATGGGACATCAACGAACTCTATTAAATATTATTAAGAGACGTAAACTAGAATATCTTGGACATATAATCAGAGGACCAAGATATGAGTTTCTTCGGCTAATTCTCAACCTATAAAATTGAAGGAAAGAAATGGATAGGACGGAAGAAACTCTCTTGGTTGAGGAATTTGCGGCAGTGGACAGGTTTGACAGCGGACCAATTGCTACACGTAGCGCAAGACCGAGATCAGTATAACAATATTATAAGCATGGTAGTCGCCGACGTTCCGTAGGGATATGACACTCTAAGAAGAAGAATATTAAATCAATATAATAGAAGACTAGTCTGAGACAAGAGTCAGTACAATTTCTGTACAAATATTATATTATCAATAGAAACTGGTTGCATATATGTTATAAATGGCGACTGGTTGCAAAAATATATAACACTGAAGATGGAAACACGGAGACAGTACAGAAAGCCAAGCACAGTGCAGCAAAATAATCACTAGGATAAGTCAAAAACAAAAAAGGGAACACTTTGAATGATGGTCAGAAGATTTAGCATCTCTGATCGAAGACAAAAAGAAAGACTATCAGACGTAGTTAGTTTCACAAGAAGAAGATAGAAAAATATATGTCCAGTTAAATAGAGACGTGAATAGGAAAAAATGACATAGAGAAAGCAAATGCACCGAAATAGACAGATATATGGTCGGAACAAAAGTATCCAAAGGTTGAAAAGCCCTGAAGAGTTTAAGAAAAAATGAAAAAGAATACACTAATGTATTGTTAATAACAATAGAAGAATGTAAAAAGCATTCTAAAAATTAGCTAACTTACACATAAAGATCTCTGCAGGTATGGAGAAAGAAGTGTTAGAAGATGACATAGCATTCATGACTAAGACACTAATCGAAGAAGACATCAAATGAGAAGTTGAAGATAAACATACAAAAAACGGAGCATCTTAAAGTTCCTGAGTAGCCAGAATACATTACTTTTGAAAATAGAAATATAAATGGTTGTAAGGCGTATAAATATCTGCGAATTTATATAAACGAAGATGTCAACAAAACTAGACTTATATAGAAACATAATGAAACCCATGACTACTTATGGCGAAGTGTTCGCAAATAATACAAAGAATTAAGGATAGATTTAAAACGCTATAAATGAATTTTCTAAGAAGATCTTGCAGAATTTCTAGATTAAATCGTGTCCGAAACGAAGAAATTATAGAACGCTCAAAAATAATAAAAAACATTGACGACAGAAAAACATCTAGAATAAGATCTTAAAGGGGAAATACACCATTCAATTCGGATGAATAATGTGGATAACTCAACCAAAATGAACCATGTATTCTGCAATTCAATAAAAGCGTTCAACAAAATTGAACGTTGAAATGAGTTAAGCCAATACCACTGGCATGATTCATCCACATTGACGCGTCTATACTAGATTTGTTGATTTTGTTCGATTTAACCGTTTATTTACACCTTAAACCATACATTTAAACCTTATATATACGTCATGTTGCCGATGATCAGAAGATAGAAAGGTAATTTCATCATGTTTCAAATAGTTAGGGGCAAAGATGAAAAAAATGGGTGCACTGAAACAAAAATCTAAGAACAAATTATAAAAGGGAAACAATAATAGACGCACTGAACTAACTACTCTGATCTAGCACTAACAGAAAAAGATACAACTATAGAGAAGTATCTTGAAAAGATACCATCCAATGGTAGTATAGACTTTTTTCTTCTTCAGCCTTAAGTAATCCAACTTTGGATATAGGCCTCCCCCAAATCAATATAGTGTCTTCTATTTATCGCCACTTGCTTCCAGTTGTGTCCTCCGACCTTCTTAATATCATCCGCCCATCTTATGTGTGGTCTTCCTCTGCTTCTCTTAATGGGCTTTCTACGGAGTAAAAACCTTGATCCTTCAAGAAGAGAATGGTATAGAACATGTGTTGTATTATTTCACCACGTTCCCTACATTCCATCATACGTTTTCTAACTTATCTTCTCTACTATTCTAATATTAAACTATTTTTCGCAATGGTTCTACTCTTAACAACGTTCCATATATATATATATATATATATATATATATATATATATATATATATATATATATATATATATATATATATATATATATATACATGGTATTAATTTAACCAGATCATCTACAGTGATCATGTTATCTCTTACTCGTATTCGTCTTTCATCAAACCCTCGTGTGTAAACTATGTTCTTACCTTATTTCCAGTATTCACATCATAGATACAATAAGAATACCAAAATAATACTACCAAACTAATATAGGTAGGAGTAATGAAATGCGGGATGTGGGAGGGGCATTTATTATACCAAGTGCTAAAAAGAGATAAAAAGACCAGCGATCCAGTGCTCCGTGTTTTACTATTGTGCTGACTAAACCTAGTCTAGGTATTCTTTTATGTATATGGTTTACATAACTGAGTAATAGATAATTCTTTATGCGATAATTTTAGACAATTAGATAATTGTTTTCTTTTATTCAAAATACATAGTCTTTACTCTTTTATTTTAGCGTAAGTACTTTTTACAAGTTGTTTTTTGGTTATCTTTTTATAACTGTCCCAGCCACCTTGAAACTAATTGCCCTAATTATTTTTCTTTTATATATTCATCCTTATGTAGCTTATTACAAAAAATATGTATATTGCTTTCATTATTTTATTTTTTCATTTTGTTGATTAAAAATCGTCCATTTTTTTTCCGATACTGTTTTATACATATGTTTGTGTGTGAAATATCAGGCGATATTTCCGAAAAATTTTAACAACAACTCTCTATTTCAGGTTACTATAGATAGAACTAAAAATACTTCTACTGAGACTATTAGAACGTCACAAACAAGAAACAAAAATATCAATACAGTAAAGAGAAATAAAAGTACTGAAACAGAAACTAGTACAAGCAGTGGAGTTTCATCAATGGGACATAGTACTGAGGTAGCTGTAATATATATTTTACGTAGATTTGTGACTCTTTTTACAAAACTAAAATATGTGGAAAAGTCACTTGAAGTTACTGATCTTACTGACGAATTCAACTGCAACAATTGATGTGTTTTGTGGAAATATTATGTAATGTTTTAGGTAGTTTAAGGTAGTCTAGGTCTAGGTACTGAGAGGACTTGTTAACTAAGTAAACGCAATTTTCTTTCAAAATCAAAGTGCTGCTTTATTTTAAAAAAATGAAATAATCTCATCCATCATTTCTTGAGAAATTTAATCTAAATTCGTGGGGACTATTGTCATGATTCGTGAGTATCTGTTGCTAAAAAAACAAAATAAAAGCGAAACAAAGTAGCACACTTTGAAATTTTGGTACATGCTGTAACGGATCCTTCTTCAAGTACCAGAAGATTGAAATAAAGTTCAGTAAATTCACGCAGTAATCTTTGAGTAATCTTAAAAAAGCATTAATTATATCCTTATAATATTACCGTTTTGCATGAACACACTGAAGATGATTGTCTAAGATTAACAAAAAAATATATTCTATTAGTTTTTTATGAATACACATTATTTTCTAAAATGGTTATGTAAACGAATATAATGATTTAAATTCGAATCCTGCAATTATGGGAAAACCAATTCACAGTCTTCAGAAAAGTTGTTAGTTTGGGCTGTGCTTTTGGAAAATATTTTTTTGTCTATTTTCACCTGATAACTTCAATCTAACAGTAAATAGGCTGCAATTTAAATAATTAAATATATACTGGTATACAAATCTCCTTTGAGAATCTTTAAAAATCTTCTTTGGGACGATTGATGTGTGATGTCCTCTCGTAGGAGTCACTATCCGGGTAGCTTTTGGACAGTCAGAGACAGAGTCCAAAATAAAAATAAAACTTTATTGTCTTCCTTAAATTAAATTGACAAAAATCTTATGTACATATTTACAATTTGGTTTAGTCTTCTCAGTACCTGGCCTATTTATTCAAATTAAGTTTGACCTTGTCATATGAAATTAGTCTTATCGGCAAGCGAGTGTGTATTTGAAATTTTACGGGAACGTTGTATAGATTTATCTCGACAGTCTCAACACGACTGCTTCAGAGTACGGGTAGTGAAGAGCTCAACACGCTCTTCGGGTAACGGCGGTATGGGACGGAACAACTTGTGAACTCAACACGTCCACAAGCCGGGTTAGGGAAGAAGAGAACCTTCAGTCAACACCTGTCAATTCTGTCTCTATGAGGAAATGTTGCGGTTTATATAGCGGAGCTTGGTAATTAGTTTTGCCCTTTCTACTGTCGATACACTCCTACTTCATGGGTTGGTTCGCGCTCACGCTGGTTTAACGGTGATGGCTTGGACTCATCGTTACAGATGGATTCAAGATCGAAGAGCTTTAAGCCTTATAACGGGTATTATTCATACAAAATGACTAAATCTGTAATAAATATAATAAGATTAGATGTAGGGTAAAAACAATTTATTTTAAATATTTATTTAAGCGTCAATACCAAATGTAAGATTTATTCACTGTCAGAATCTTACCAGCTCATGTTATGTTTTTGTCTAGGATATACCACATTTTAATAATTTTGAATATGTCTACGAACATGTCTTACACATTTCCCCAAATTTCTGTGATACACTACTGTGAAAATGTCATTCATATTGAAGAAATTGGTACTTACTTTGTTGGTAGGGTAGAGTGCTTCAAGAATACGCACTTAAGGTTTAATGCGTTACGTTTAAGTGTATTTAAGCCTATTGATACATAAACAACAAAATCAATTATAATTGATATAATTTCCTTTTTAAACTCCCTTCCAGAATCTCTTGCGGTGGTGGTAGGTTATCGCCAACATCCAGTTTGAGTTTGTATTGCTGCTTTTTTTTTCTCATTTTCTTTAATTAGTTGGTCCTTATATGGAGAGCTGGTTATAATTTCCGACTTTTTATTTCTGCGATTTCTGGATCTAACCACAGTTGATTTAGGTAATGGAAAAATGGTTGTTAATTTAATATAACTTGATGATGTTCCAGGAGTGTTTGATAAATCAAAAGATTTTGTTTCTGGAGCTATTATCAACTTTTTCTTCCAAAGATATTGCAGATGTGTTGGAATCCAGATCTGTAAGCTGAGGGGTATTGCGTTTGATCTGTGAAATCCTTTTTGCACCATCGGGCTCAAATTTATGTATTTCTCTGATTAAACCATCTCTTTCATTAACATGAATTTTTTCCTTGGTAGTGGAATTCTCAAGAACATTATTTGAACTGTCACGAATATTGGGAGTATTTTCAGGGACTGATTCAGACATTTGCTGTAGTTGAATATCGATTTCAGACGTAGACGAGTTTTTAGTCACTCCTGATTGTACGTTAAACGATTCTAGTTCCATAGTTACTGTAGCTGTAGCAGGTTCTTCTCGTTCTGTGACAAAAGTGGCCATGAAGTCAGCGTTAGTAAATATATCATTATTAAAGGGGAATATCTCTGTCACTTTAAAACCTTCAATTGCATTCGTTATAGTAGTAGCTTTAAAGTATGCAAGAGCAAATATTGAAGCAATTTGGTAAACCGTAATTACCCGCCCTAGAACCAAAATGACTATCTACAGAACACTGATTAGACCCGTAGTAACCTATGGATGTGAAACTTGGTTAATGATGAAAAAAGATGAAGCCCAACTCAGGACATTCGAGAAAAAAATACTGATGAAAGTATACGGCCCGGTACAAGAGGAAGATGGCACATGGAAAATTAGGAGAAACGACAAGGTTAATGAGTTAAATGAAGGTTATTACATTGTAAGATTTGTGAAAAGTCAAAGACTATCATGGCTGGGACATGTGCAGAGACAAAACTGTGCAAAAACAACAAAGAAAATGTTACAATGGAAGCCCATAGGAAGGCGAAAAAAAGGAAGGCCCAGAACGAGATGGTTGGATGACGTGGAAGACGACCTGAAAACAATGAACATAAGACAATGGAGAAGAAGGGCACACGAGAGATCTGAATGGAAGGACATAGCCAGACAGGCAAAGACCCATCCAGGGTTATGATGCCAAAAGAAGAAGAAAATTACCCGCCCTGGATAGTTGACAGTATTTTTTTACATTCGTTGGAATAAAACTTTTTTAGCGGACTAAAAATCATCTGTCAAGAAGCTGCATTAATGCGATAATGTTATATTGTCGAAAAAAATAAATTACTGCAATGGAACAATGGGAAGTGTGATTATCCATTATTAATAGGACCTGTTGCTCCTTTGTCGGCTTAGCGTGATCTCTAAAATGTGTAGCATAATCAACAAATAGGTCCTGATTGATGAAACTACTGTTGGATACCATTCCAACTGATGATGGTGGAGCTCCATCCAAAAGTTCTGTCTTCATTCTTTTACGTGGATATATAAATCGGAAAGGAATAAATTATCCACTAGCACTCATTGTGCATACAATAGTAACATTGGCTCCCCGTTCTGCGTCAGATATTTTATTGACACACCTTTTTCCTTTTGTAGAGAAAACTTTAGGAGGCCTGTTTGGGACAATGGAAAATCCCGATCCATCCAAATACGGTTAATCCGTTATAAAAAACCTGGTTTATAAGAGTGCGCGCGTACTCTTACAATATTAATGACTGCACACACATTTGATCAATAATAAGTATTTTGGAAAATGGACATAGATTTCAATATATCCCTGTTGAACAGATGAAAATTGCTCCAAAGGCGCTGCGTTAATATTTTCTAATTCGAAATATTCCATACATTTAACACAACTTGTTATGCTTGAGAATTTAATGGTTTACCAGGCATACTCTACAAATAAAAACCTTTAAAAAATATTTCATATTAATCCGTAGACGTGCTTTTAGTCAGATTTAAATACCTTAATGTAAATTTAGAGGTCAGAATATATTATTTCTCGTCATTATCTAATAAATAATCACTAACCCTAATAAATCGAACACAAACAAATCGATTAGGTGTTATAGCAACTGTTAAAAATAAATATAATTAAAGTAAGAAAATGGATTGAATATTTAAATAACACCGAAATAGTTTATAAATACAGTCCAAATGATATCAAAACAAAACTTGCATTGGCTAAAGGTAAATCATTCACGTACCATCGTCATATTGCTGTGTTTGTGCAACTTTGTTCGATGTATGCTTTTGTGTATGGACAGAAAGAAGGTAAAAAATAAGTCGTGAATAGTGTCATACTTGGGCAAATATCCAAAGGACTCTATGATATAAGAGCTAAATAGATTATTAAAATCATGTCTGAATTTTTAGTTCTCATATTATTACAATCCTTATTATTACTTATTATTATTATTATTTTAGTCCAACGATGGATCTATGCAATCTACTCAAACTCAACAAGCGTCACAAAACTCAAAAAGATCGACTTCCATATGCCAGTCAAATCAAAGTGAAATATCGGATTGTGGATATGTAACACAAATGGAAAATCAGGAATCAATTTCAACCTCAAGTAATGAAGATGATCAGCCTCATCAAAAACCAGTACATCAAAAGCCACCTAGTTTTCAAAAGACTCGATATAACAGTAGCAAAAATAGAACTACAACTACTTTAGATAAAAAGGAACTGAGAAGAAAGAAGCTTGTAAAAAGAAGGAAAACCAACATGTAAGTTCACGATCATTCAAATCTCCTTAATTAAGGATCACGTAATGGTCTTAATATAATTTTCTTAGGATATCTAGTACACAATTTTTTATATTAAATATACCAATTATGATATTAAATAGCGTATTCTCTATTTGATAGTTCAATATATGTCTTATTTTTTAGCATTAACATGAAAGGACTTATTCATCATCTTCCTACAGACGAAGACATTGCTAATATTCTGAAAGAGTTTACAGTAGATTTTCTTTTAAAAGGATATGGTACTTTAGTCAACGATTTGCACACGGAATTGATATCAAATATTCACATACAGATAGATACTTCTCACTTTTTCTGGCTTGTAACATATTTTTTAAAGTTTGCAGTTCAACTAGAACTAGATCCTGAGCATATCAGTCCAGTCTTGAGTTATCGTATTTTGTCCTATTTGGTTTTTCAAGGTATTTGGGTTTGTGAAGAGTTGGAAATTAGTTACACAAAACCTGATTACGATCTCAAACCGTGTCTTAGAAGATTACATTTGGTAAGTCACATTTTATACTAATATTTAAAAAATAATGTAAGTGTAGGGCAAACTGGTCCATAGTGGGACGCAGTACATAGTGGGAATTTTACTCTCCTGTCTATTTTATTGTCGCGGCAGAGCTATATTTGATTGTTTGTGCTATCATAAAAGTGCCGCCTCCGAATCTCGTGTTAGTTTTTGAATTAGTACTGGGCGTTTTGATATTTTGGATATTCAAGTCAGTGATCAGCTGAACATTTTTAGTTTTATGTTAAGATTTTTTTGAATAATCCGCCGGAATGTATCCTTTTTAACTTGAATTTGGTATGGATATCTGAAACATACATAACCTTAATATCGTCTTATTCTGTTAAAACCTAGTTCTACCACTTTGATAACATTTTTGGTCATTTGTATTTGATGCGCTATGGTCCATAGTGAGATATGGTAACATAATGCGGTCCATGCTAAAATATACTAAAACATGCTACACATTTGCATTCTTCCTTCTTCTTCTTCAAGTGCCATCTTCGTTCCGAAGGTTGGCGATCATCAGGGCTATACGTATTTTCGAAACTGCTGACTGATTTTTTGCAGAATTGAATATGCCGAGACATCTAAGATCCCAACTGTCAGCAGTTTTCGAAAAAAAAGCCTAGAGGATCATGAAGTATATGCAAGGTCTGTGCATTCTGCAGTAGAAGATGTTGTAGAAAATCAAATGCCATTGATGATTGCATCCAAAAAGCATGGTGTAAGCAAGTCTGCTCTACAGCGGAAAGTGAAGGAAGTTAAAATTAGCAAATTTTGCAGATTTTGAGTATGCACGAACCCATGGTTTCAAAACAATATTTACAAGTAGAGAGGTACAGGCTTGTGGAATATGCTACAGCCTAACATCAATACATACTTGTAAATTGGCTTAAAAGTATACCATTACTAATAATAAAATGGTGTCTCGAGCTTGGCATGAGAAGAAACGAGCTGGAGTCAAATGGTTAAATAATTTTAGGAAACGACACCCTTTGTTATCGCTTCGAAAAATAGAAGCAACTAGCCTTGGCAGGACTAATAGCTTTAACAATAATAATGTGGCTTCAGTTTTCAAAAACTTAAGAAGTATGATAACGAAACATAATATCCAGTCGAATCAAATATATAATGGTGATGAGACTGGTGACTGGTTGAAGCATTAAAAAAACAAATTGGAAAAGTGACAAGCGCTGAAAGAGGCACATTAATAACAATGTTTACTGCAATATGCGCTAATGAGACTTTTGTGCCTCCATTTTTTGTATTCCCGTGGAAAATATTTCAGCCTTTCATGCTTACTTGGGCTCCTTTAGGAGCAGCCGGTGCAGTGTCTTCATCTAGTTGGATGACGGAAGACAATTTTTTGAAGTATATAGAGCACTTTATCAAACACGTGCAATGCGGTTAAGAATTCCCAGTTCTATTATTTCTTGACAACCACTAGAGCCATTACGATGTTCATGTGCTGAATCTGTGTAAGATGATGAGATTATTCTATTGACATTTCCGCCTCATTGCAGTCATAAATTACAATTGCTCGACGTGAGCTGCTTATTTCCATTTTAAAGCTATTATAACCGAGGAGTTGATGACTGGATGCTAAATTATCCTGCCATACTAATGAGCATTTATGATGTTTGTAGTGTTGGTACTGGTAAATACACTTTGCTCCAACTGATTAAGCAGGGAAAGATCCAAGGAAAAAGAAGCATAGACAGGCGTACATCAAATGAACTTTTTAGAGCAGCCGTCTCAAAAGTCCGAATAGCTATGATGATTGCCGTGGAGATGGCACTTGAAGAAGAAGAATTCACTGATAGGCCCGAAAAAATGAAAATGGAAATGGTAATGAAAATAAGGCTAACGAAAGTGTTTAGGATGTGAAATGTGTTCAGGATGTAGAAAAGTAATCAGGATGTAGAAGAACCACGACATGTCAGCCCAATTAATGGCCCATCCAATATAATAAAACCTTGGAAAATTAGGTCACATGCCAAAACTGCTCCTAGAAAAAACCTGAGGAAAAAGAGAAAGAAGCTACAGTCAACATTCATAACAGATACCCCCATAAAAGATGTCATAGAGGAACAGCAAAAAAAAGATTGGCTAAAAAAACGTTTTCAAAAGAGAAAAAATAGAGGCGAAAAAAATTAAACGTCAAGTTTTTAATGACGACAATAGTTCGAACAGTGATGTTAGTAAAAAGATTTGCAACGATTCTACCGATTTAGAAAGCTTTACATCACAAAATCAAGATTTGTCTATTTAAAATGAGGTCTATGTAGGTCAGGTTATTAGGATAAGTGGAAAGGAATATAATATCTCTTTCATGAGGAGAATTTGTGGCCAGCAAATTTGTTTTCCCGACAAACCCGATGCAGATACCATAGGAGCAGAAGATATTTTACTAAAGCTGACCCCTTCTGTCATTAGTGGAAGTACAGCTAATCGACAGTTTATGTATCTTATGAATTTTGTTCGAATTGAAAATAGAGTAAAAGTATTTTTTATTAAAAATCCGACTATGGACCAATACTGATGATTCCCACAATAGACTATATAGTGGTTCATAGTGAAACGAGTGGTTCATAGTGGGACGAGTGGTCCATAGTGGGACGAGTGGTCCATAGTGGGACTTGTTGAATAACATTTATTATTATAAATAAAGGATTACTTGAAATTATTATTAGTTTACTTTATTATATCCATAACCATGCATAGGTACCCTTACTATAACTTACAAACTCTTAATCAAAATGCTATACAGCTTTGGAAAAAAACTCCCACTATGGACCAGTTTACCCTACATTAAAAAATGGTTTTGATACAGATGTAGTGTGGGCATTTTTATCAGTAATACTCTTGAAGTTCAATCAATTTGCCCTTAGATCAGGCATCAAAAATGTGGTCCCAGTTTAAGGTTATAAAACATTAACTTTTTTTATTTTGTATTTTACGATAAAAAGTAAAAGGTATAAAGTTGTAGATAATTTAATTTTTTATAATTAGTGTTGGATATAATTTTCTCTAGTGTTACTAGTTTAGATAGTAAAGAGATAAAGCGCGGAAACCTTTTGCACCGCTTATTGCAAGATGACGAGTATTCAAGAACCCACCTAACGTCGGAGCACTGTAAAATGCAGAGAAATTAATAAAAATAAACAAATCTCTAGTGAAAATTATTCTTTCAAAAACTTTTAAAAAAATTTATAATACTGTTTTGGTATCATTTTATTTTAAAATTACCAAAAAAACACCCACAAAAACATTTTTTTATGGGAGAAATAGGAACCTATGAAGAAATTTAAGAGGCAAAGCCGAGCCCGCATAGAGATAAAGGCATATAGAACGATGATGATTAAAGTAAAATAAATATCTCTTACACTCTCCAAGTTTTATTTGACGTATATTTTCTAAAAAATAATAAAATTTAAAATTATGAGTGGGTCGCGTTTTACGCACGTAAATTTATTTAATATAATTTAAGTAACCAATATTATTTTCAATGTGTTCGTATTTTTAGGTTGTCACTGCCATTCGAGAATTTCTACAGGGAGTCGAAGCTTATCAAAAGATGATTCATCTTAATGATAATGACAAGGACCATTTAGCAAAATTACAATCTCAAATAGTCAAACTCAAAGACCTAAAAATGTTGTTTGTACTGTTATTGAGACATTATAAAGTAAATTTACAAAGTAAACAGTATTTACAGGATCTCATTTTGACCAATCACAATTTTTTTCTATTTTTGGATAACGCTTCCACCACGCCAAAACATAATTCGAGTATGATGGATCATTTGAAGAAGTAAGTATAAAAAGAGAAACCGTATTTTTAAGTCTAAATCTTTCAAATCAACTAATTTTCATACTTTAAAAATTAAATATTAGTTGGATGAAGTCTAACGTAGTAATAGTAAGTAGTTCCCCGTTGATTTTTATTTCATATGGTTATCTCTCAAGTGCCTTTTTAAATACCTGGTCCGAGTAAACATTGAACCATATTGGCGACAAAATGCAATCTTGTCTGACTCCTCGTTGTAGGGAGATTTCATAGTTGTGGTTATCTTCCATTTTTACGATAGCAGTTTGACTCCAGTACAAATTTTTAATGGCACGAATACCTTTGTCATCTATTCCGATATTTTTCAGTATTTGCATTAACCCTCTTATGCATTAATTGCTTTTGGATTTCCGTTTTTCTTGTACAAAATCCATGCATTTACAACAATAATATCCACAAAATGCATAAAAACTCTTATGTACCAACGTTTGTTTCTTCTCCTTAGAGGATATAGGGCCAACAACTGGTCCATCAGGTCTACTCCTCCTATATTTTTGTTATAAAACTGAACAGAAAATGGTCTGTTTACTTCTATAGAAATCTTAGTAGATTTACACCAGCGTTTTGTTTTATTCTGAGGTTTTATTCCAGTACAATTAGAATCATTGTAAATAGTCTTGTTGTCTAGCCATTTAGAGACAACTATATTGCCACCTTCAATACTTGCAACGGATGAAGTTCCCCTACTCTCTTGTTTCATTTGTTTATCTGTTTTCACAACAGAATTACAATTTTGTAGTCGATTCAATCGGAGAGTTCCTGTCGCCCATATACCTCTTTTATACAGTTCTTCGTTAAGGGGAAGTGAGCAAAATAAATTATCAACAAATATTTTATGGTTGATTCTCTCCAAGCCGTCAGTTAGACGCAAAACTACATCAGCGCACGCTCCAAGTTTACCAATTTGACTTCTGTCTCCTGAGGCTCCTTGGTAAACCTCAAAACGATACATATATCCACTAATTCCAGCTCTTACCCAAACTTTGACTCCCCACTTTTTAGTTTGTTTTGGTAAGTATTGCTTTATACCTAATTTTCCTTTTAGTGGAATAGTTTGCTGATAAACTGATTAGTATTGCTCTGGATCTGTGGCACCTAAGAAGTTTTTCTAAATTTTATCTAAAAATGGTCGACTTCGTCATTGTAATCAGATTTTAAATCTGAACATTCTGGTAAATCATAAATAATGTCATCATTGTCAATAACTATAAATTCTTCATTTTCTGGTAAACATACAGGTATTTCATTCCTATTTTCGTCTTCAATGACAAAAAGTACTTTCTGAAATAGAATAAAATTTCCCATTGAAGAAGTAATATTATGTTAATATATAAAATTTTACACAAAAAAATGCACTCGGAAATCCCTAAATCAATCATAACTCTTTGACAAGAAAATAACAAAAAAATTGTGAACAAGAAAGCTACTACCCCTCTAAAAATTATACTCATAAAACATACCACAAGAGTGAAATTCCAAGTTACATATTGCATGACATCCACTCTACTGGACATGACTTCAAGGCGATGTTTTCAGTGAGTTTTCAATTATTTTGAAATTATAACAAGGGCCAATTGTGTAAAATACATAATTCTATAATAAAAATGTTTTCTTACCTTTTTGTTCGCTTTTCCATAAAAACTACGGACACTTATTTCAGGCAATTCACATGTCGCTATCGCGGTCAGGTTATTTATAGATACTAACATAAACAAACTTTGAATTTCAAAATAAATATTGTAGATGGCGGTAGGAGTTACTTGATTAGAGTCCACTGAAAAGGATTTCATATTAATTCATGGGAATTAAAATATATTTTTTGGAGTTAAAAGAATATGTCCACTGCAGTGGACTTAATGCGTGAGAGGGTTAATTTTGCACTTTATCGAATGCCTTTTCGAAGTCCACGAAACATTCAAATACATCTTTTCTTTGGTCACGGCATTTTTGTAATGGGATGTTAAGCGCAAAAAGTGCCTCCCTGCTTCCCTAGCATTTCTTAAACCATATAGGATATCTTCGAGATCTTCTTCACATTTGCATCTAATTCTGTTGTGAAGTATTGTTAGGAAAATTTGAAGAGTGTGGCTGCTTAGGCTAATTAATCGATATTCTGAGCATTTTCTCGCATTGTGTTTTTTAGATATTGCGACAAAGATGGATTTGAGCCAATCTGTGGGAATCACAATGTGGGTGTTATATATTGAATTAAAAAGTCTTACTACTACTTTTATGTTATCATCCTATATTAGTTTCAGCAACTCAGTTGGTGTATCATCTTGACCACAAGTTTTTCTAATTTTAGCAATATTTATAGCGTGTTCCACCACTCATTTCGTAATTTCTGGGCCATTAGTACAGTTTTGTTAGAATTCGACAATATTAATCCTGTCATCTTCAAACAACTCTGATGTATACAACTGCCATTCTTTTCTTATTTAGTGCTCATTTACAATAATTTTGTTATTATTGTCAACGAGTACAAAGGGAACCCGTTTTATAAATATGTTACTCATTTCTTTTAGTTTTTTGTGCACATTAAATAAGTCGTGTTTAGATATTACATCCTCCATGTCGTCGCACCTTTCTCACATTCATTTTTCTTTGGTTAATTTGATCTCCTATTTTATTCTACTCTGCAAGTGTCTATATTCTATTTCATTAGATTTTATCAGTCGACGTTGTTCCATTAATTTGAAGATATCGTCTGTCATGCATTTATTTTTCTTGATTAAATTTTTTCTAAAATCATTGTTTGTGGAGATTTCGTTACCTTGGTTTTAAATTCACTCCATAGTTCTTCTGGATCTTCTAGTTGTTCTCCGATGTTTTTTGTTCTATTGTTAAATTCTTTTTTTGTAGCTTGGTTCTTCTATGAGCCTTCTTTCAGTGCGTCATTCATTAATTATGACGTCATATAATGTATTGGATGTTTCGAGAGTTATTTCATTTAATTATTTACGAATCTGACAATGACAGGATCGTATTTAGCCACAGGTGACAAGCTTATGGCATTAAACTAGTACCTACTTTTATTGCAAGGTGGATTAAATATTAAACAATATTGTTTATTAATTATATTAATTATATTATACATTTATTGTTTTTTAAATAACCGTATATAATACAAGCATATTTAGTTTATTTTGTAGTTATACAATTAAATAAATTGCCGTCAACTCTTGGAAACGAAAAAAAAAAGATTGTTGTCAAAAATTTTTAGGTAACTAATAAAATTATTTCACGACATATCAACTAATAATATATTGATTTTATTATTAAAATATTTTTTTTTTTTTAGTTTTGCAACAGTCGAAATTATGCGTCAGTATGGAATTTTATTGGAGAACTTTAAGCAAAACGGCGAATTTATAAATAATTGTATTTTTACCATGATGCACCATATGGGCGGCGATCTTAACCACGTGGAGACATTGTTTCAACCAAGTATCCTGAAGACATTTTCACAAATTTGGGAAACCGATTACGAGATATGTGATGTAAGTATTAAATATCTGACAATTTAAAAGAGACTTCAAGACAACGACGCAGATTTAGGTAAAATATTTTACTTAAATGCTTCTATACTCAATTACAGATTTAAAAACTTTCTAAGTACTGAAGATCTTATACCAACTACTGACGTACTATCTGGCGTTGGTGCATATATATTTATTATGTTGATATCGAATGATTATTTATCTATTTAGCTTCATTATCATTATTCTATTTTCGGTTAGTAAAAAACATTTTGTATAGTGTTTCACATAGTTGTGAAACCTGATGCACGTCATTTCCTAACTGAATTATTGGGGTGATTGTATCCATTTACATTATCAACAGAACCCTCTCGGTACATCTCAGCTTGCTTATCCCAAATATGTTTCACTCCATTCTCTTCATTTAGATTTTAACATTTATCAGTTTGCTGCTCTGGGTAGAGTTCTAATATTTCAATTAGCGATTGTTATTCTCCCAGTATAAGCCCAGTATAAGCCAATAAGCCACAGTATAAGTTTAAAATATATTTATTTTTGACGTTTCGATTTCCACTTCGGAAGTCTTTGTCAAAATAAAAGCATTAATAAATTAAACAAATTTTGATTTTTGTTATTTTGTGAAAAATTCTTCTAATAATTTAATTTTATCTGATTCAATCGTATTGACAATTTGGACATATATTATACATTCTAAAGTAGACGATTTTAAAATAATATTGCCAATATTGTTGAGTTGCGTTCCTGGGACGATTTATTTGAGTTGGTGGTAGCGGGTAGATACTCTTGTACGATCCCGGTATGAGATAGATCTACTTCGGGTATGCAACCTTGCCCTCGTGAGCCATGGCTATCCCCCAACCCATGCCGGGGGAAGTCATGTCCCCACCCCAAGATCCCTACCAAAACAAATAAATTCTCTCACATATCCATTCCCAAGGAGTTAACCTCACACGAAAGAAAAATCATTGAGGAAGGCAACGGGAAGACACCCCAATTAACTTTCTATAGTATAATCATAATGGATCAATATAGAAACGGTCCTTAGTCCCGGGCACCCCTTAAGTGGGAAGAGGGTGCTAAGAATCCCCCAATTGCAACAAATATTTAAATTTAAGCATGATAAGAAGATTGATACATGAAATGTACGAAGTTTATTCCAGGCCGGAAAAGTGAATACCCTAATAAAAAAAATGCGAAGACTCAACATTGACATACTTGGATGCAGTGAAGTTAGATGGCCCAATTTAGGCCAGTGCGAAATAGAAAACCACACAATATACTACTGTGGAGATACTACAACAAGAAACAAAAATGAAGTGGTTATAATAGTAAATAAAGAAGTTAACAAATGTGTACTTAGTTTTATAGAAATATCAGATAGAGTTGCAGTACTCAAAATTAATGCTAAAGAAGTTAACGTTTAGTCAGGCCGTGGAGTTTAGGGGTCTACATTGTAAAAATGACATGCACCCTATCCTCCATGCTATGGCATGCTGGACGAGCCATACAGTCTGTAGTCGACACCCCGAGGTATGAGCGGGAATACAAAATGTACCAATACTCATACGCTTATGAAACGTACCTGGCGGATCATAAGGGCCTTCACATTTTGCTCTTTTTCAACTTGTCTGGAGTGAAATGTCTTTAATCTTTCCTATCGGCCTCTCTTGGCAAACTCTTGTTTTTCCGACCCCGAGTGGCTATTAGGGTAATCCGAGGGCAGACGGGTCACTATAATTCTGTCTACTACACTCTACTACTCTTCTCTCGACTAAGGGAGTAAACCCTAACAGAAAATCCTGGTCCTCCTGGTAGGGGGTTGGGACGTAGAGCCTGCTCCTCTACACCCGTGAAAAACTTACTGCAAAAAATTCTAAAATCCAGCCTCGGAATATGGACGGGAAAAAACGAAAACGACGTAGCAAACGAACAAGGACTTTGAATATAAATACATGGAATATCCAAGGGTGGAGAACCAAGTCAGACGAAGTCATGGCAGAAGTAAAGAAAATAAAATCAGATATCACGGTTCTTACCGAAACAAAGAAAAAATGCCAAGGTAGTGAAGACATAGGAGGTTTTATACATATTTATAGTGGAGTAGAGAAAGACAAAAGAGCACAAGCAGAGGTATCAATATTGATTAAAAAAGACTTAAAAGGAAACCTGAAAAGCTGGGAGCAGATCAATGAGAGAATTATTAGAGTATCTATTACGTGGAAAGGGCACGACCTCGAGATCATTGGAATATATGCTCCGTCAGAAAATGCATCAAAAGCAGCTAAACAAATATTCTACGAAACTTTATCGGAACTCATTGAAAATATAAATAGCCGCAAATAAATTGTGCTGCTGGAAGATTTTAACGCTTGGACAGAAACAAAAATATGGTGACGCTAAAACAAATGAAAATGGGGAACACTTAATCGAATTCTGTGAACAGCACTCTCTGAAAATCCTAAGCGGATTCTACCAACATAAAAACATACATAAGTACACCTGGGTTCAACCAACGAGAAACACAAAGTCAATTATAGATTATGTCATCACAAAATAAGAAACACACATACAAGTTGAAGACATAAGAGTACTAAGAGGACCGGAGTGCGGAACTGACGACTATATGGTAAGATCAAAATGTTACCTACAGTATCGACCTCGGCTACTACATAAAAATGACAACCAACTAGCTCAATCAAAACCCCTGGAATCGAATCTACCTAAATACAATATTGATGCACTGCAAAACGACTCGACATCATTCTTATATAAGCTGCGACTTAGCCTAAAATTGGCAAACCTGATCTACGCCTCAGCCCAGAATACCTATAAAGAGATAATCAATAAAATCAATGAAGCAGCTTACGAAGCGCTCGGCACAATCCAAAAGAACAAAAATAATACTCCATTGTGGTGGACAAATGACATCGCCAATGCAGTACACAACAAGAAACAAGCATATCAAAAGTGGCTGCAAACAAATGATCCAGATGATAGACGAACATATGCAAGATTAAACAGAGAAGTAAAAAACTTAGTAACTAAAGCAAAAAATATTTCCTGGGAAAGTAAATGCGAAGAACTCAACAAATATATAGGGTCAACAAGATCAAGAGAAGCATGGAAAACGGTAAAAAATCTGAGAACAAACAGAAAAGAAACGAGTAGAATAGATTTAATAGAAGAAAAATCTTGGATCGAACACTACTCCCAACTTTTAACTGAAACAAGACCTCAATTCACGAACATCAGTACAACAACATATGAACTGGAATTCAGTGAAGACGATGAAGTAACAGTACAGGAAGTCGAGAATGCAATACGAACTCTAAAAAATGGGAAGTCATGCGGACCACAAGGTATACCAAATGAATTATTAAAACATAGCCCACAAGTATTACGGAAATTACTGGCGGATGTCTTCACCTTATTCTATAATGGACACGACTTACCACCGGAGTGGACAAAAGCACATATTAACAACATATACAAAAAAGGAGATAGAAAGAATTGTTCAAACTATAGGGGGCTAAGTGTCATAAATTCACTCTCAAGACTGTATGGAAAAATAATAAAAAATAAAATTGAAAAAAAATGACAGATGTAGAAGAACAGAATGGCTTTCGTGCAGGCAGATCCTGCATGGACAGTATATTCTCTCCAAAGCAAGTTATCGAAAAAAGATTAGCCCACAACCTTTCAACTCATATAGTTTTTATAGATCTGACAAAGGCATACGATAGTGTACCACTTTCAATGCTTTGGGTAGCAATGGAAAAACAAGGAATAAGCAAAAAAATATACAAGCAGTACAACAGCTCTACAAAAATATGACGGCAAACATTAAAACTGGAAATAGATTAACTAGAGAAATTAATATTAGTAAGGGCCTAAAGCAAGGCTGCTGCATAGCACCTACACTCTTCAAAATATATCTAAATGAGGCACTCTCACTGTGGAGAAGAAAGTGCTGCAATATGGGCATCCCAATCGGAGATGATAGATTGTACACGATACATTTCGCTGATAACCAAGCCATTCTAGCTGAAGACGAGAGTGATATAAGCTACATGCTTAGAAAACTGGAAGATGAGTACACCAAATGGGGCCTCACAATTAATATACAAAAAACTGAGTACTTAGTTGTAGGAGAACAACCAGAAAGCCTACAAATAGAAATGGAAACTATAAAACCAACAGACAATTTTAAGTACTTGGGAGTCCAAATAACATCAAAAGCAGGAAGTAGCGAAGAAATACATTCCAGGATTGGCCAAGCAAGATCAGCCACCAGACAGCTACACGGACTATTATGGAATAAAAAAATAACAAAAGAAAATAAAAGAAGAATTTATAAAACAATAATAGAAAGTATTGGACTGTATGGCGCCGAACTCTGGGAAATAAACCAAAGAAACAAATCAAAAATTAAGGCCATGGAAATGAACTACTGGAGACGATGTTGCCAGCTCACTAGACTAGATAGGGTGAGAAACGAAGATATTCGGAGAGAAATGGAAATCGATCTTGACATAATAGACACAATCGAAGCCAAAAGACTTAACTGGTATGGACACCTTCAGAGAATGCCGGAAAATAGATGGCCAAAAAAAAATAGAAGAATGGACTCCGCCAACTAGAAGAAAACGAGGTAGACCAAGACGATCCTGGAGAGACGATGTCGACGATGCAATGACCGCCAGAGATCTAACAACTGAAGATTGCTTCGACAGAAAACGCTGGAAATTAGAATGCGAGAAGCGGCGCCAGCTGTAGAAGACTCGCTTGTTATATATATATATATATATATATATATATATATATATATATATATATATATATATATATATATATATATATATATATATATATATATATATATATATATATATATATATATATATATATATATATATAGTTAACGTGAACATTATTCAAGCATATGCTCCAACTTCGAAAAGCTTAGAGCAGATAATAAAAATATTTTATGAACAATTGAA